GTGCTGAGGGCCCCAGAGCTGAAGGCAGTACTGTGGGGGGGTCTCACCAGAACAGAGGGGCAGAATCCCCTCCCTGGCCCTGCTGGCCACGCTGCTTGGGATGCAGCCCAGGACACGGTTGGCTTTCTGGGCTGCTGCTGTGTCCCCTTTCCCACCATCTCCTCAGGAGCACCCGCAGATGGTGGAGGTCACCAGGTGCTGGGACAGGCAGAAGCCACCGGGTCGTGGGGCACAAGGCAGCGGGAAGCACGTGTCCCCACGGTCGAGAGCCAAAACCCCCGACCCCCTCATTCAGCACCTTCGCCACTGGGGACAAACCAGAAGCCAGGTTCCTATCCCTATTTTACCGATTGCTTTGAGGAAGATGGAGCACCTGGACCAAGTTCATAACATTCCCTGAAAATTAAACTAATTTGGATTGCACTTTCAGAGGAAAAGATGTTTTCCACAGACAAGAAGCAAGAGTGATCTGAGCTGGGCTGGAGATACCACACGAAGGATTCGCTATAATCCTGTCGCTCAACCTTGGAGGGAAGCCCCTCCAGCCTCACAGGGTGCTTAGAAGGCTTTGGATGCCAGGTCCTCCTTGTTCCAACCCAACAAATGGCTTTAACTGTAGCAGAAGAGAAGGAAGAGCAAAGATCTTTGGAACCATTCCCCCAAAAATGTAGACCATATTCACATTTTAACAATTTCTCTAAAATGTATGGCCTAGAGACCTGCCAATTTGACCAAAAACATCTCCCTCCCAACGCACCATTCCCTGTATTCTCTTTCTTGAGCCTTTTTTTGATTGCCCCAAGAATCAGGGACTCTCTCATGAGAGGCTACTCCAACGAAAAACTTCTCCCAAAAATCTCTCCGGACACTATCTACATTTTTCCTGCGCACAGTTTCATCCTTTTCTCTTACGTGCATTCCTCCACCATCTCCCTAGATCTTTTCATTGCTCATGTATTATATTCTCCTAAAAATGGGAAGCCTTTCTTCCCCTTCGTGGCAGTTTTAGCTTAGATCACCCACTTTCCCACATTTGACCTATTGTAGACTATTCAACTTATCAGGTCTTCAGACAATATTACTCCTCTGGACTCTATTTTTTAATATTGTTTTCCTCTCCGTAAAAAGCAAAAAACACACAAACAGAAAGAAACCGCACCAAAAAAAGTATCCAGAACAGACCATGAGACTCTGTGTTTTAAAGATTACTCATCTGAAACAACATGTAGTATTTATACTTTGATCCAGTTCTCCTCTCACAGCCCCACACCTGGCAGTTTTTCACATTTAACCCATCCCATCCTCACCTCTGGTTTTGAAACACAATATTTGGGGACCTAAGTGCTGTACACAAGGTATTGTAAAAATGACTTTGAGAGCGTCGCTAAGCCACTCGGGCTGCCCAGGCTCAGCCTCTTGTAGCAGCCACCAGAAATGCCGGCAGGTACGCCAGCATCTCCTTGGGCAGGGACCCGGCTGAATAAAAGATTTGCTCCAAAATTTCCCAAGTGTTTTAGCATAGCGCAGCACGGCACCCAAACTGAACACCACCTTCTTCGATAAAAATACCGGACCAGAGCTGACCTGCATGTGAGCAAGTAAGCTCAGAGCAGAGCTCTGTGTGTGCATGTGCCCTATTCCTGCTCTCCATGTCCCCTCGGTGGGAACCAGTCCAACTTTTTTCTTTCTTTTCCTGTCTCCTAAAAGCAGCTATTTTACTCTCTAAAGATGCACTGCACCTGCAACGCTTTTCTTTTCC